CTGGATCAGAATACATAAATTGTAAGATCCATCAGTTTTTGTTCATTAAACTTGTCGGATAATTCCATCGGTACTGTACTTCATCTTTTCGTTTTTAAACGGTTTTATTTAGCTCGACACGTACGGAATTTGTTTATTTATTTGGGTCAAAATTAGAAATTGAAATTTAAGCACCTTCCCGTTGTCAGATTGATCTGAAATTTGGTACACACATTTAATTTAGATGACAATACAATATTGTAGTTTTCAGTGCACATAAAATAAAACCGTTTAACTTAAAAGTTTTTAAACGGTTTTATTATATAAATGGTTTAAGCACAGACACGCGTATTGATAAACAACGATTATTTTGTTTTTGTTTACTGTTCGTGGTTAAATAAGCCTTGAACAGTATAAAGATGTGTTTTTATTCTAACGAAGGAGAGAAAGAAAACAACGAATTCAGAATTAGTTTTCCTCTATCGCAATCGATTCCACGAATGACCACGTTATACAATTGAAATAAAAACGTCAATGTTATTTAAATGAAAGAACAGTATTTTTCCATTGAAAATAATGTCTTTTATCTCTATAAAATGAGTACTTGAAGGAAAGATTCTTCGAAAATATATCTAAGAATTTAACTTTATTTTTTGAAGATAACTTCATTGCTCTTCGCTACTTAAGTACAGCAATTTTTCCTAACACGGTATATACTATATATACAACAATATAAAGTTTATACCTAATAAATATTGTTTTCCTTTCTAAATATATCAGTGGAATAAATCTTTCAACTTATTTTTGCCAATATTTTTGCTATAAACTATATTTTTCTCTTTGTTATTTGTAATATACTATCGGCCCGCCCCGGCTTCGCATGGGTGCAATGTATTATGCATAATTATAAAAGTTCCGCTTAAATCACTCTACCTGATAAAAACACCGCATCAAGATCAGTTGCGTTTTAAAGATCTAAGCATACATAGGGACGGACAGACAGACAGCGGAACGACTTTGTTTTATACTATGTAGTGATTTGGTGTACAGCTTTCAAGCTAAAATATAACTTATTGTAAACAAATTTTATGCAGGGTGTATGTATATTTTATCAGTAAAAAAGTACTTTCACAGATTAAAAACAACAGACGAATATTGCCTTTATTAAAGATATAAATATAAGATAAAATAAGAGATAACAAACGAAGTGATAAAAATTGTAAAGCTTTTACTGTACTAACATTCATTTAATAAAAATAACACAGTTGAATGAAGAGAGAGGGAGGTGCAATGAGCCAAAGAACCGTGATTTCATCACCGACAACTGCTATTTCGCATCATTGGATTATTCAGAACTTTATAAACTGCAATTCAATAATTGTGAATTTGCTAACGTTCGTTAATACCATTTTTATTTTATATCGACGATATACATAGTGACAACCTACACTATAATTCGTATGGAATACGATGAAAAAGAAAAGAGTATTTGTTATTTTTATATCATTGTTTTTTTGCTACTGAATCCATTTTGTAGCTTGATTCCGAGAAACCGAATATTCCTCGGGATTTTTGTTTCATTAACAAACTGCTAGCACTACAATCCATTCGAACATATGGTAAACCTGAAAGTAGATAGTAAACTAGTGATTTTCACATTAGTTTTGGATAGAATCCCCGCACAAATATATGTTTAATATGCGTACCTAAAAATCACCGCAATATAAATGCAGCTAACATGTTAAGGCCTTTTTTTTCTTATTTTTACGCGAAAAGTTGTCAAACGAGCAAACGGTTCACCTGATGTTAATTGAATACCGCCGCCCATGGACATCTGCCACACCCGAGGGTTACAGACGCGCTGACAACCTTTTGAAAATTGGGCTCCGGCTACCTCACTCACCAGACGAAACATGAAAGTATTTGTCATACTTCCACTTTACGCTGGTATTCTGTAAGGTCGTGGTACTTACCCGGACGGGCCTGCCCATTCCTGCAACAGCCGAGGCTGCTGCGTGGCCCTACCACCCTAAATGGCCTATTATTAAAGTCATCAAGAATTATTGTTAGTAGTAGTAGTCAGGAGTCTACCACTAATAATATCTATAACATCGGAGCCCGGAATACACTCAGAGACCTTTTTAAAGAGATTAATATACTCACTGTTGCGTCTCAATATATTTATTGTAATATTTTGTATGTTAAACATAATATTAATAATTATCTAAAGAATAGTGACAGACATAAACTAAATACTAGAAATAAGGACAAACTAACTACGCCATTGTTTCGTCTACAAAAAGTAAACAGGTCGTTCATGGGGCAAAGTGTGCGCATGTAATAATAAAATCCCACAGTCGACATTAAGTCTGCCACTTGATGAATTTAAACGAAAAGTTAAAAGTAAACTTATGGCTAAAGCATATTAACTATTGCTGAATATCTTGACGACGCCAATGTGTGGGGTTAATACTGTTGATACTCACGTAGGCTAAAACAAGACTATTGTACCTGTAACATTATATTGTAAACTGACCTTTTAAAAAAGAGCAACTGTTGAGTTTCTTGCCGGTTTCTTCTCAACAGAAACTGCTTTCCGAACCGGTGGTAACTTACGAACATAGTAATTTCCTTGCAAAATTTCGACGATTCATAAGAACGCGCAAGCGTCTTTGTGAATAAAGATATTTTATTATTATTATTATTATTATTAAAAAACAGGAACTTATAATCTTTAAATATATAATTCTTCTGTACGTGTCTATGTCACTGAACTCCTCGTAAACAGCTGGACCGATTTTAATGAATTTTTTTCTTCAGGTCGATTCGAAAATGGTTTATATTCACAATTCGGTCCACTTTAATGTTTTTTTTTGTTTATAAGTTGTTGTCGGATTCGACAACAACTTATAAAGTTGTTGTCGAACAACTTAAAGTTTCGAAGTCGTGTGTACACAGGACAACGTATGTCCGGTCCGCTAGTTAGTTATAAATAATAGTAGTAAGAACTACTGTGTTATTTATTTCTGTCTCACGTCTTTCTGTGTCTTGATTAACAATATCGTACACTTTCGGACTTTATATGCTTTCATCAGGCACAGAGCCCTTTAGAAGGCCGTACATAATCTCCTAACTAGTGTCAAATACGATAGATATATTGGACCAGCAAGTCATGTAAGTTACACGTTGACGTTTTGGGAAACTAGCTGTATAGTTCATCAATTTCAGGAGCATATTTTATCATCCTAAGCAAAGAAAGAGGCAAAGTTTAGTTCTATGAGTACTAGGTAACAGATATATAAACATACTTTTCTTATGTTTCCAACCTAACTTAACCTAACCTCATCGAACAACATGTTACAAGAAGTGGGGATCGAACCCACACCCTCTGGCGCAGGAGACAGGTTCACTACCCTTATGCTTATCGAGTCTTCAAAATTACGAATATCGATTAGCAATCTCTGTACTGGTCAAAAACCACATGGCTTAACATATATAAGCACAGGAAACTGAACAAAGCCGCCGCCTGTATACAATAACGGGTATGGTCGGTTCGCCAGTGCGCGTGACGTCGACCATCGCTCGACCATGACCGAACGGTTTTCCGATGGGACTGCATAGAAGATGGGGATCCTTTCACCGATTTGAGTAGTATAATATGGCGGGCTCCTCGACTTTTGTCACAAACTGACACGAAGATAAACGACAGATTCGCCTAGAAGCAATAGGTATTATGAAATAGTTATGTTCGCACGCAAAATATACCGTGTTGCTAAGCTTCGGTTCAGCGTCGGGGGCCGTGAGTTCGATTCCCACACGGGACAAAGTTTTATACCACAGATAATTTTTCGGAACTGGCTGTTTATTTCTCTATGAGGGTTGACGTCGAGCAGGTGGTCGGTCGTACTATTCAGCATCTTGAGTTGTTGGTCTGGTGTTAACTTGAAAATTACAAGATGCTTACAACGTTGGGACCTACCCATGGCCCTTCACTTAGCAGCTTCTCCCACGAATGGGCAGACGAAATATATACTGTTTACTATCTATAACTCTATTTTCCTGTGTGTATAAAACAGATTAAAAAAATCCAGGTTGTGCCGATATTTCATAGTTTGAAATCTAATAACGTCACTACCCACTACGCCCATCGAGTCAACAAAGTTGGTGAAATTAGTTATTATGATTTGTGTGGAAGGGCTAAAGTAAGTGCCAACGGCCAGCAAGCGGAGACCAAGAAGATATATTTTAGTCTAAATTAAGTCTTAGGATGTTTTTTTATCAACTAGTAAATAGTATAGATGGCGTTGTAAGCAATGCTCCAAATTTACAATAAAAAAAATCTGCATATAAATTAACAGTTTTATTATTTCAATTGATAACACATTTTCGTCATACATACATCTATTCGCCTTTTATATAAAACAGAAGTTTAAAACTTCGACCGCCATAGGCGCATCATTATTATAATCGCATTTTTAATATGGTTTCGATGGTGATAAATCTCATAGTTGTAGTCAAGATTAGGGCAATTCCCGGTCATATTGATCTGTTCTACAAGTTATATGGCCGTGTCACTTCAGCTTACTAACCTTCTGGACTGTCCACTTTATCGAGCTCTATCGCGCAGAGAAATACCGAGCACAGTGCGTAGACTTTTGAGCTTCCTCATACGGCCAGCAGATAAGGCCCAAGTCCCAGTTTCGTAAATAAGCATATAGAATATGATATCGAACTTTAACAATACAGCGGCATATTATAATATTCATAGTTTACTTATTTACTTAATATTATAAAGGCGAAAGTTTGTATGTATGGAAGGATGTTTGTTACTCTTTCACGCAAATACTACTGAATGGATTTTAATTAAACTTCATCTTTTACATCAGAATAAGATATATAGGTACATAAAATATTTATGTAAATTAGCTATCTGTTTTTCTGTCTGAATTTTACGCCTTCAGCCTATTCTACGCAGACGTAGTCGCGGGCAGCAGCTATTACTTAATAAATAGTACCTACTAAACTTTTGGGTACGGAACTCTAACAAAAACGGCACTGACCTGGTACTTCCGGATCGATTCGATCTGGTCCCTTGTGACGTCGAGCGCTGGCGGCCTGGGGGGTGCGTCGCGCGGGACCTCGCGGGGTGGCACTGCGGGGGCGGCGCCCTTCACGTTCCCATTCACCTGCTGGGGTAGCGTCTACGTGAGCTAAGATCCCTTGTGAGACCAGGTCCCGGTTCTACACACTACAGCCAACCACAGATAACAAATAGGAAGTATTGTATTTACGTCGACTTTGTGAGCTTAGGTCCCTTGTGAGAACAGGTTCTAAACACTACAGCCAACCGCCGACAGCAAATGGGGAGAGTTACATTTTACGTGATCGTAATATTTGTGACCATTTTTGTTAATTTGTGAAATAAAAAATATTCGATGAAGATGTCGTCAACGGAAAACACGAATAAAATAAATTACCAGCCTGTACAAGTCATACTGCTGGGCAAATGCCTCTTCTCTACAGAGGGTAGTAGGGCACAATTCACCACGCGACCCCACTGCGGATTGGCAGAGTTCACATACAACGTTTTCCTTCACCGCCGAGCACGTGATAATTCAGCACTTAGAATTGACAGCTTGATTGGTGTTGGCATCGGGATTTCAACTCACATTGCGTGAGTATTATACATGAAAAGCCAGCGCCCGAACACTGAGCTATCACGGCTCAACACGAATGACTGATACAGATATTGTATATTAAATAAGAAGAGAATTTAAGTCTTGTTACGTGGCAGGGTCCAGGTCCAACAGCACCTACTATTGTTGCAAGATTGGGCAGCCACGTCCGGAGAAGAACCACGAAGAAGACCGATGGGAGTGGAAGTATTATACTGACTGTCTAGTGAGTGAGGTAACATGGGCTCAATGCTTTAAATACTGGTAATGCGACTGCTACCAAAGGAGTTATGGATTACCAAGGTCGGCGGCAATCACTTAACATCAGGACCGCTTGCTTCCTTACCAACTTCTATAAAAAATCATCTTTATAACGCATTTTATGTTATTTCGACCGTGGAGTATCTTTTCCTCAATAAATGTTACATAGAAATATGAAATAAGCAACTTAAAGAAACAACGCAAATTGGTTTTAGCAGCCTAAACTTGAACCAACCATAATGTGTTAATAAGCGTTACAATAACAACCTTAAAGGAAAAAAAGAGAAAATAATCTATGGAAGAGAACAATTTAACCAAATACTTAAAAAAATTATTAACAATTTTATCACATTCTTTTATTACAAGAAACACAATCGAAAGAATCATCAGCAAAAATCAAGATATAAAACGTCACCATAAGGAAACAGATTTTAGCATCCAAAGAATCTTAGGATGGATTTCATTTCTTTTGTTAAGTTTATCGGTAATAAAAGACTAGCGCCATTGAAAGATATCCCTAAAAGGATATCAATTTTTTTTTATTTATACAGATGATCTTTACCGATACTTTCTTATTACTAACAAGGACACACAATAGTTAATAGCATATCGTTTCTTCATACTTATATTTTATAGATATAACCGTGATAACATTCTCTTAAAACTAAAGTAGATTAACGCATGCTCCCCCTTAGCCAAAACCATTACCTGTCTGAATCCGCTAAAATATAAAATGATTAGTCATAAATAATTTTATATGCAATCCTAATTATTGTATTAAATGTGCATGCTTTCTTAACTATCATAAAGAAATATTAAATTAAACTAGTTTACGGATTTTATCGTGTTTTATTGACGGTAGCCGGGGTTAACTATGACATCAAGACGTATAACAACTACGTCTGTCCCGTGAACATGAACGCTGGAAATTTTCATGTCGGGAGTTCAAATCACGTAAAAAACGCGATAAAATCCGTAAAGTAGTTTCATTTAATATGCATAATTATTCGCGTAAAATCAAGAAAACAAATAAAGAAATACAAGAACAATATTTCGATTGGCAAAAACTCGAAGCGCTTTTGGCTTAAGTAGTTTCATAAATGAAGCTGAAGATGGTTTAAAGTATACCCATTTTTTTATTAACGTAAAACAGAACTGACTTCAATATCTCGCTTTGCATTCATTTAACAATTGATCTTCAGCAGTTCCCCAAGTATCTTCGGAGCCCAAGGTGCAATACCAATGAAATTAATATGGGACCACACGGGAAGCACAGGCTTTCAAACAAATAAAAGAATAATCAAAATCGATTCACTCAGGCGGAAGTTCTGAGCTAACAAACATAAAACAGTCAGTTCTGAGCTAACAAAAAATACAGTCGAATTAAGAACCCCTCCTTTTGTGAAGTCGGTTGGAAAGTGGGCCCGGGTAGTGATTGGCGATATTTAATTCTTAAAGAAAATTCTTGATTGTAGCTTGGAAGCAAATTACCGAATTATTAATTTACTGTGATCCCACGCAGCAGTCTTACTTAGGCGAAGTGCCACGATCTCATAGAAGACCGGCGTAAAGTGAGTGTTATATTATATATATATTTCTGAATTTCGTCTGGTGAGGTAACCGGGGTGGCACACTTTCGATAAATTATCAAAAGGTGGCAACGCATTGGCAACCGTACGGGTGTTACGCATGACAATGGACGGCGTTTATCAATTAATTTCTGGTGAACCGCCTTGCCTCCTTCTCAATTAAAAAAAATATACAATTAGAAATAGCCATTGTTAGATGCCCTAGCTAATACAGTATTACAATGCGCTAACTTTAAAAAACTAACTTTAAACTTCTACTCTTCACTACAATTAACTAACTCAAGTTACTTAACGGGCAGTCTGAGATAGATTATCTAGCTCTAATTACAGTAATAAATAAAAAAAACGTAGTAAGATACGACCAAATATATATACAATAGTAAGATAAACATTACACACACGAATATATTCCGTCACGCAAATTAAATCCAATTTACTACATCGCGAAATGGCTATCGTAAATGTGATAATAGTCCATAATACGGAGAGTTACGAAGGATGCTGTAAGAGATTAAGACATCTTGATTTCACCCGTTATGCGCAGCGAATTCGGTTTGATATTTCGAGTACAGTTAAAATGAGCAATCAAAGATTTGTTACATGCGTGTTGACAGTTTAATGTTTGCTTTTTTGCGTAATTTAGGAAAATAATTCTGTAATACGCATTTTTTCATGTTAAGAATTATATGTTTGTATAAATCAAGTAGTAACTACCATAACTCCAGAGTCTTCCTTTGGAGAGCGCCAAATTTTTTTTTGTAGGTACGCATCATTTTATTCACTAAACAATTGTTTAGTACATTATTGGCAAAAGTTCTTCCTTTGAATAAAGTTGGCACCGGCTACCTCATTCACCAGACGAAACGCAGCAGTTTAACACTTCTACTTTACGCCGGTCTTCTGTGAGGTCGTGGTACTTACCCGGACGGATCTGCCCATTCGTGCAACAGCGAACACTGTTGCGTTGCCCTACCAAATAAACTGTTCACTATTTATTGTAATTTTAACCGTTTAATATTTCCTTTTCTAATGTTTTCAATACCGCCACTAGAGGGCACCACTTTTTTATGATAAGGGTTGCACGTTTTCTGATTTAATTCTCATTTACGAATACAACAGAAACGTCTGGAAATCGCGATACATGTGGATAAATTAAAATCATTGATTATTTTAAAAGAAAGTATCAAATACAGACGTAATGTTCATTTAAATTTGAACGTATGTCCGAAGAGCCACGTAGAAAAGAAATACTACAAAAAACTGGAATAAGATGAGAACGTAAAATCTCGAACAGTACAAGGTAAATTACTCAGGACACATTTTTACACAACGTTTTCTAGTTACAAACTAAGCAAACGCTTGTACTATGGGTACCAGACAACTCATAGACATTAAACATACTACTCTTTGTAAATAAATACATATCATACATAATTATATAAACACCCCAGACACTGGAAAAACACAATGTGCATCACACAATATTTTTCTCGTATTGGGGATCTAAAACACACCATCTGACGCAAGAGGCATTGTCACTACCCATTATGCTATTCGGGTCATTGTGGGGTAGTAACTTATACTTCATATAATTCGATACTACTATAATTCGACCTGGGCTTTTTCCACAGCGGCGGATGCATGCAATTACTATATAGTCGGCACACGAGTTACGCAATAATCCACTCCGTTGCCTTCAGTCAAAGGGCTTCGTCATTCGTAAGACTTTGCGTATAATAACTTTCAATCTGAAACGTTAAATATACGGTAAACCAGAAACAATAGTCGTTTAACTAGTAAAGGATAATTTGATGATATTATTCTGGCTACAAACTATTCAATTATATGCTCGTTTCTAAGCTGCGTAGTTCTTGAAACCCTTAATGGAGCTAATCCATAGGCCCAAAAGCCCCGAAGATCCAAATTCTCATTCTAAATGATCGGATTTAATGCCGATACCGCGGACAGAAGAGTGCTTAGTGCATGAAGCGTGATATGAGTAATGAGATCTTTTTTGTGAGAAATATCAAAAAGTATGATTGATCGACAGGTAAAAAAAATTACGTTGAAATCTTAACCGCTATTAAATTATAAAACTACTTACATTAACCCACACCGAATATTATTTAATGATCGTACCAAAAGTGATTATTGAACCATTATTCCAAGAAGCCTTTAGCAAGATTTGAAGGCATGTTTCAAAATAAACACTATATGTAGCAATAGATTTATAATGTATGTTTCCAAACATAATTATCACTTTTAGTAAGCCCATAACAATGTCAGTAACTATAAAGATGTCAGTAACTAAATGATGATATGTTAGATGTTAACGCATTTCTACGAGTCCGTACACCCAATAGGACATTTACCTTAGCCAATATAACTGTTACTGCAATATAAATGTATACGATTTAAGAGATGTTTATGATACCGTGAGTAATTTAAGCGGTGGTTTAATGAAATTATTTAACACCTAATTGAAAATTAAACTTCATAATTTTATATATTTAGAATTTCCTTATGAATCCTTGCAAATAAATGTAACATAAAATTAATCGAGATATTCAACAGCGTTATTCACAACAGAATGTAGTAGAAAATCAATTTATTTTTTGTTCTTTGAAGAGAGACGTGGCGCAAAAGTTAAATTTAATGATTAAAGTTAAATAAGGTCAGTTTTACTGGCTCTGGTAATCCCAAATCAATTCCCGCAACACACCCCCAACCAACCAGATGAGAATGAACCGAGCGGTCGTGCCGTTTACCTGGAGCACACACTTTCTGTCCACGGTACCGGGGTATTTGGGCGTGGTTTTCACGATCTGCACGAAGTTCTCCGGCACGTCCACGGCCACCTCCCTGCCGAGGAGCACGGGCGTGGTGTCGAAGCCGGGCGGCAGCTTGTACGACGCGTACACCGCCTCCCGTATCAGCACCGAGTCGGTCCGCGCCGAGTAGGCGACGCCCTCCCTGCAGTCGAGCAGGGAGTCCTGGCCGCTCGATATGAGAAGTTGGATCTTGTGGTTAGACAAGTTGTGGGTGGCGTTCGACGCGGGCGACGCGGACCGCTCGGAGGCGAGGTCGCACTTGGCGGTCTCGGTGGATCCCTTGCTCTTCTTGCTGCCAAAGCTGACCCCGGAACTGTCCGAGCTCTGCGGCAGCGAGAGCAGCTCGAGCGTGCCCTCCGAGCTGGGGGCGGACGTGTCCGCAGCGCTGTGCAGCACGGTGCTCTGCTTGCTGCCGAAGCTGGTACCCGACCCGCCGGACGAGAGCAGCGGCTCGTCGTCGCGTGCGCGGGTTCGTACCTGGGGGGGCCGCGGCGGCGGGTACCGGGGCGGTGTCTTGTTCCGCGCTATGAAGTTCTCCGGCACGTCCACCGGCATCTCGCGGTGGGGACCTGAAGCGAAGGAGGATCTCCATCATCGGCTGCGCCTTCGACACATTCGTTATAAATCTTTCGAAAACCGAAATATTTGCTCCATTTTCTGCTGAATTCTCGAACAAAACTACACTATGCCTCGCGGTAAGAGCTGGGCAATTTGGAATTTGTAACAAAATTATAAAACTTATTCGGAATGGGTTTGGTGTGGGAAAAGGTTTCTGATTTAAAACATAGAAGAAACCATTTTTAATTTAAGAATAGGCCAAAAATTTTATGTACGTTAGATTTGTCTGCCAGTATGAAGATGTACCAGGTCAGTTTGTCTGCTACATTAGGCACAGATTAAAATCAAACAAAAATTGCTAAATGTTGGGAAATTATTTAGGTTCTCTGCTGATCGCAGACAAAATATTTTCATAAAATGCCATTGGATATCGACAATAAGAGTGACGGGGAATGAAAATAATTTACTCGCTTGGCAAAATTATACTTACACTATTGGATTGATCATTCTCAACATGGTTTAACTAACTACATACACATTGCTCTAATAAGTTAAATGGGCAAACGATAAATCGGAAATCGATACAGGGTACATACAGCTATAAATACACTGGAGCAAAATTTCTCCGTTGACCCAAATAAGATCGGACCATAATCGCCTGACGGTTAAGCGGCCAATTAGACCTAAAGGCCCTTAAGCTATTGGAACGGATCGCGATGGGGGCCAATTTGGACCGGCAGGATTATACCATGAGGGGAAGGCCCTCGATATGTTGCGTATGTCGCGAACGGTTAGGGAAACTTTTAACAAGATCAAACGTTAAAACGGCGTCGAATAATTTGTATCGGAATCCACAAGGTTGTCCCAAATGTTGCATATACATTGGGATATTCAAAAGCAGCAAGTAATTCTCATCAAAATCATTTATTACTTTGTTACTTGGACTGTTACAATCAACTACCAAATAATAGTTTACTATGAGTTAAAACATATATTAATTAAAATACCCTTTCACCGTATATACGGGCGAGAGCTGAATGAATCAATACATACAAAATGACATAAATGTCATTATGAATTATAGTTATCATGTTCTTTCGCTAATTCTTTAAATCTGTACCCATGGAAATATCCTCACCTAGATCAGAAATGACTTTAAAGCTATTTAAGGGACTATACATCATTTAAAATTTATTATTTATAACACTTAAATGTTAAAAGTTATGAAGAACTGGTCCCAAGATGTACCATAATAAATATTCTTGTATTTGGCACTATTTTGATCAGAAAAGTTTAGTCTCGAACGTGACAAGCATTTTTTATATCGGGTACATGGGTTTATAAGACATTTCTTATTAATTAACATTTTATTATTACGTAAAAGTCAGCTTTGTCTTATTTTAGACAGATATTTCGAGGACGTAATTTTTTCAACTGTGATAAGGTAAAGCCATGATACGGTTTTCGCTGTTATACGAATGGGCAGATCCGTCCTGGAAATTAAAACGATCTCACAGAACACGTGAAAACGAAGTATTAAGTATTCTGCGTTTCGTCCGGTAAGTGAGGTAGCCGGGGCCCACTTTGTTAACAGCTGGCAACGCATCTGCGAGCCTACATCAGGTGGACCGCCAACTCGCTCACCATCTTCTGCTTTAAAATCTTCACAGTCCCACCTGATCCACTCGTAAGTGGGAGACAGAAGGGGATTTCGAGGGGTGAAAGCTTGTGAGCTGTTTGACCTTGGACTCTTACCGGTGTCCGATGTGAGCGACAGCATGGTGAGCATCTCCGCCTCGTCATCCGGGGGCGGGCGCTTCTCGTCCTCGGCGCCCAGCACCACAATGCTGGAGCCAGATCGCCTCCGCGGCCTGGAACGTCAATGATAACATACTTAGCGAGAACAAAGCTTTGCAGTGTTTTGAGGACTCCTTGGCGCAGTTGCCAAGGTATTGGCTTCGGCGTCGGGTGTCGTGGGTTCAATTCCCACACGGAACAACTATTTGTGCGAACCACAGATAATTGTTTCGTATCCGGGTGTTTGTCCACGTGAAAATGTTTGTAAAACGTCCTTACAACACAGGATAATGTTATCCTGAAGTAAGGGCAATATTTAAAAAACAAAAGAGGGACGAAGTGTCTTGTAGAGGTTTAGGAGGTTTTATTGAGGATTTATTGATTATAAATAAATATTATAGGTTAGGTATATTCCTGCGCCATGTGTCACTAATAAGGATATTCAAAATGTTCAAGTTTTTCTGTTTAAACCGAATTGTTTCCGTGAATGAACCAACTATAAAAGTTATTTACGGATATTTTGAGGTTGCGTATATTATGATATTGAGATTAAACCACAATCGATTCCAATTTTAACTTTACTTCTTTCTCCGCGGCTCATAAAGGAGATTGTCGAATGCCGCTATGGCAAATCAAGGCACCCGGTCGGAAACGTACTCAGCTTCAAATGTCAACTAATTTTCCGCGACACGTTGAAATTTCTAAAGACACGTATGAAACGCAATCTTAGACTTAAAAGGAACGCTCGGTTGCGCAGCCCGATGCAGAAGCAAGCGGAAGTGTATTTAATTTCGATCTGAATCATTGCCCACCCTCTTAGTTTGAGCTGCATTAACTTCATTTCCCCCTACTAACTTGTACGATTAAAAACTAAACAGCAACCCATCTACAGACGCCATTACATTTTCCATAATCATTATACAGCAGTGATTAATATAACTTATTGTTAACGTTTATTAGAACAATAACAAAGTACCTGGATGACCGAGCTTTGCTCGGTATTATTTTAAATAAAAAGTAAAAAAATAAGTGTGTAGCAACCAATTAAATTTTTAAAAACATTCTTATTCCATATGTATATAATCCATGTCTGAGATGAGTTGAAAAAACGGTGATGGCTTTTAATGTTTGCCCGATACATAAGGTTCAAAATGGTACTTAAGGTTAAAAGCAAAGTCAAAAGCTAAAAAAGAGTTTCGTGATCTTTTGGGATCTGAACCCAGAACTGAACGTTAAGGGACTGTATAGGCTCAGCCACATGGCCAACGGTGCGCTGAGTCGAAGGGGAAACGGGTTCTCATTGAGGCAACAGACAGACGGACGCAGCGGCGCGTGGCGTCATGCACGCCTTACGTAACGGATCTTTATAATTTCAAATGCGTTTTTTTACGAGACCTGCATGTCTATGTTGTTCGTTCTCTCAGCACGGACTGTATGTACGTCTATTTATCGAATACAAAGGAAGTTACGGAACGCATTTGAATACGTATAATCGAGATCATGGCGTGCACATTCTTGGAAATAATAGAGAGAAAGGTCGAAGATTCTTCTAACAACTTTTCTCTATACAGAGGAACTTTGTCCGTCAATAGGACACTAAACTAACCTTAAATTTTAGTAGCTTAAAGTATAACTGACAGCACTCATCGCTGTTAAATATAGAAGAGCGCAGTATTATCCAATTACTATACTGAAGTGATTATTCCACCACAAGACGTATGAGATAATTATATTTAAGCTACGGTACATTACTGGTAGGTAATGCTGATGGCATTATGTCCACCTTTTTACATATATATGTCCATGAAGAATCAATAAATAAATACGTTTCCGGGCTGTATTTAATGTCTGCCTATTGCAAATGTGCGATCAAATTAGATTTACATGCCCGGTTTCTGAAACGCTGATCATCGTAGAAATTAACTAATCAGCTATCAAATGGCTTGTCAAATTTTATTTGAGTTGCCAAAACGATGTTAAACACTTTGAATTGCTCAGAAATAATGATTGATGATCATTGATTTTTTTTACAGAAATATATATATATCTATTCGTTTATTTTTTTATTTCATATGATTTCATATTTTCAGCTGATACGGGATGTTAACTAGCAAAGCGGACGATTATTTGGGCAAAGCTATTTTGGCAAAGCTTAGCAATTCTTGAATATATATATACGCCGCGGTTCGTATCACGATCATTTACACACTTATTCTTTTTACTTTTTTTCTATACCAGATCATTTTCTTTATTTCCAAAATACAAGATTTACCAAAAAAAAGCTAAGCGAGGCTCGGTCCTCCAGGCACTTTTAATAAAATACTATGTTTCGTCAGTTGATCAGTAATACGCGCACGGCAGCCACTTGTACCACATATTCTCAATTTAGGCGTCGCACATAAAATACAACCCTCGGCTAGGGTGCCCATAATTTTGTATTATGCGGTTTGAAATATAAAAGTAACATGTAGAGAATTGTATTACGCAAATTTGAATCTAGACTCACTTAGGAATTGAAAAAAATAAGTACTAGGTAATTAATTTTTTATGAGCGATTTGTAGAGTTTGTTGAGTGACAACACATGACCGTTCATTAATGTGGCGGATCACGTGGGAAGTAGTTTTAGTTTTGACTTTCTGTATCATTATCTTTGTTTCCCTTTATCCTTACTAAAATGATGTTCAGTCAAACTTTTTCCGCTAGCTTTTTTATATGTAAAAGTTACTAATGTTTCGGACGAACTCATTTATACGGCGACTGAAACAACTATGAAGTTACAAGGTGTACGATGAGCTAGTTATCACTATTAATTCAAGCGTAGAACCTGTGGTAGATTTTGATATTTTAAGTCATTGACGTCAATGATCGTCGCTGAACAGCGCCGGTTGATAAGTCGTCGTTTTTCGAATACACCAAACTTATTTGACGGCCCCCGTCGGGGTCGACGGAGCGCAGCGCAAGTTGAGCCGCTCGGTTTAAGTGAAAGCGGATTTATAGATTGAATTGGCGGACCGTGAAATGCAATGCAAACTTGACCTCGCGGCGGTACACTTCATTATCTGTGGCAATGATCCCGTAAGGCGCCGCGACCGCAGACCGAAATAGCGCTTTGGCTGCGCGGCGGGAAATTGGTGCGACGTGCTTTTTTTTCCACGCTTTCGAACCTCGCCTGTGTGTAGTTAGAAGAATCTTAAAACAGTCTTCCTGGTAACGTGCTCAGAATACGAAGGTTCGAAAAGCTTATGTCTATTTAAATACAAAAATTCGCATTTCTAGTTTCATCCCGAGTGTAGAGACCAGCACTAAAAGTAAAATTAATAATGTATTATGAGAATTTTGCACGCGCACCGATGAAAATATATTTAAAATTATTAAAATCTTTCGTGAGCCCTTATTAACGGAACAATAAAACCGCTAAACTCACGTAGAATCGGTGTATACACCGATTACGTGAGTGATGAGTTTCTTGCCGGTCTCTTCCCAACCAGAAGATGCTTTCCGAACCGGTGGTTTATATTAATTTTCATGTAAATTCGACGTTTCATAAAAACGTGCAAACGTCTATTTAAATAAAGACATTTTGATACTGCAAGGCATTTTCAATGTAAAAAATTATTTAACTTAGATTGATTATTTAACTGTAAACCGTATAAAAATTAGTTAATTGATAGCTATATCCATTCAAATTTATTTTAATTTTATTTGATTATATATAAATTTTATTGTTCCATACGATGATAGATTCAGCCAACCTTGTCCACTTCATTTATATTCTATGGGTAGGTATTTTAATGCTTTTAGTTTTGATTTTGATTCCGGATGTTTCGCATTGGAAAAACCGAATTTTTTTAAAAGTCAAAATATCTTTATTCAATATAGGCTTAACTTATGCTCTTATTGAACGTAAAAAAAACTAACTGTTTTAAGTCTTATGTCAACAGTCAACGGTGAAAGAAAACATCGCGAGGCACACATTTTTAAAATCATAATTAAAAATAAATTTTTCGAAGACATTTCAAGTCCGCCAAATCTCAGTTAAGTGGCATAGTGAATTATGTCCTAACACTAACTGTACAGCTTTACTCATTTTACAGCGGATATCGATAGGAATTTGTAGAGAATCCGCGTCCGCTCCCAACGTGGACCACACAAGATCGGAACTACACGTCCCCGGCAGCTTGATAATAGACGCTACCTGTGGCGGCCACGGCGGCAGGTGCGGTGCAGGTAGGCCGCCTATTGTGCCCGACCCATTTCCCTCCGCGCTTTGTACAGCCCCGCTACAGATCTTTAACGCAGGTTTATGTATAGGCGATAATTTCGCAGAATTCGTTGGTGTAATAAGTTAGAGATGTTAGATGACTCCGTGGCGTAGTTGCCAAGGCTTCGGCTTCGGGCGTCGAGGGTTCGTTTCTCACACGAAACAACTATTCGTGTGACCCACAGATAATTGTTTCGCATCTGGGTGTTTGTCCTCGTGAAATTTATGTTTGTGAAACGTCCTTACAGCACAGGATTATGTTATATTAAGTAAGGGCAATGTTTTAATTTAAAAAAAAAAGTAAGCTTTTTATCACAAGAGAATTGAAGGCTGCCTGTTAGCGTTTAGAGTTTCTGTCTAGAACAGTGATGACTGTGTCCGGACGCTCGTTTTTAACTTAATATACTCGAGCAACCCGAGTTCAAATCCCGGTGCCGGCACCGGTGAAATTGTTCTTTTTAACTGTTGACTTAACGGGTGCTCAGCGGTGAAGGATACCGTGAGGAAGCTTGTATATTTTCGAAACAATAACAAAATTCGAAGATATCCGCAGTGGGGTCGCGCGGTGGATCATACATACCCTAATGCCCTTTGTTCAGAGGAGGCCATTGCCCAGCGGTGGAACATATATAGGCTGTCACTACTATACGTGACCGTACTAAGTATTCGCAGTTCGTTATTAGAAATGATCGAAGCTAAATTAGACGAAGCGATTGTTTGCTAATCCCAATTGATATCTTTAAACAACGACCAGGTCGATCAGGAGTGACTTTACTCTGAGGCACCACCTCGTCAATTATGGATCATGCCAT